ACCTGCACTGGCCCATTTAATTCCCACTAGACCCCTAGGAAGTAGGTACCATTGTTACCCTCATTTACGGATGAGAAGACTGAGGCTTGGGGGTCAAGAAACTTGCCCGACATCACAGTGGGCAAAGAGCAGAGCTGGGCATCAGACTCAGGTCCAGCTCAAAAGGCACACTCTTACCTCCCGAGTGAAGTGGTAAATCCACCATATGAAAAGTTCCAGCCCTGGCTCCTGTGGCTCAGTTGGCTGAGCATCATCCCATGCACTGAGAGGTTGCTAGTTCGATGCCTGGTAGGGCACATTCCTAGATTTCTTGGGTTCAACCCCCGCTTGGGGTGCAGGCGGGAGGCAACCGATCAATGTTTTTCTCTCACATGGATGTTTCTCTATCTCTTCCTTCTCTCTTAAAAAAAAAAAAGAAAGTCCCACTTAAGGTTCCTAAGGTTACAACACAGATATGAAATTAGGTCACCCTGTTGGAACCAAAATGATATGACTGCAGCCAGCAACAAAACTACAGTAACTGCAAACGCGACAGTGCCAACTCTAAAATTATGCGCACGCTCGCCTTTCCGCTAGAATTGCGCAATTCCTCGCCACACGGGAGCTGGCCCTGCCTCTATTAAAGTCCAGCGGACGGCCTCGCCCGGTGGCCCAGTTGGTTGGAGCATTGTCCCGTATTCCAAAAGGTCGCGGGTTTGATCCCTGCTGGGGCACATGTGGAGAGGCAACTGATCGATGTTCCTCTCTCTCCAAAATCAATAAAAAGATTTCCTCAGGTGAGGATTAAAAAATAAAAGGAATCCAGCTGCCAGCGGGCCCATCGCACGTCGAGGTAAATTACTGAGCTGGGAGTGCTCTAAGAAAAGGTTACCCACCAGGAGCGACAGCTTAGCACAGCGCGCGCCAGGCAGGGTCTCCAGAAGCACAGCCCTGGCCCTCACCAGGCTGAGTGTGTGCGACACGCGGGCCACCAATGGCTGGGAACACCCCTGAGAGAAGAAGGTGAGGAGGAGGAGGAGAATGAGCAGCATCATCTTTAGCGAGCGGCAGCGCAGTTATTACCGACAGCACATACGGTCTGGTGAGCGACACCCAGGAGGGTTCTGTTTGCACCCGGAAGTACCAGCTCCCACGTGGGAAAGCCACACCCCTGCCATGCATGCCTACCGAGGTGGCACCAGGCCGGCCCGGGCACTGCTACCCAAAGCACTTCAAGGCCAGTACCAGGAAGGACCTGGAAGGGCATCACCAGCCCGGGGGTGTCCCTGAGCCCCGCCTGTGCAGGACTCTTCTCCGGCCCCTTCTTCCTGCTTGGCATTTGGTATTCCTGCGGCTGTGCTGCTGACGAGGGCGAGAAGTCAGGTGCAGCAACAATTAGCAGTAACAGGGAGAAGACACAAACGGCCCTGTCCACTCCTTTGCGGGCGGGAACCCTCCGTGCACCCCGTGGGCCACGTCGTCCCCCCCATGCAGAAGTGATGCTCTGTGATTGTGCTCTAGTGTGTGTTTGCTTTTTCAGAAAGTGTGAACACAAACACCTACAAACTGCTATTCCCCCAACCTGATGGCACCGCAGACAGACTGTGGGGCGGCTCAAAACTCACGTTCTGTGCCTGGGAGGGCGGAACTTTCACTTATGAAACATTTTATCTTCAATTCATGACTGGGCGTTCAATAGTTGCATTTTTTAAAGGGCTAATTTCTTGCAATGAAGTATCTTATGATTAAACCATTTACAGTTACTGAGTAAATGTGCAGAGTCAAGCCAGGTCATAAAGGGAATTCTGAATCATATTTTTCTACGGCTCTCGGAAAGCAATGAATCTATAGAATCAAAAGCAAATTCAAGGTTAAGCCTATATTGCCCCACGTCAGCAAGGACTAGGTAATCAAACAGAGAAACTAGATCTTCACAGGAATCGGGGAAAGCTCACTGCGGGTCACATTTGTGTAAAGAACCCCGTCAGCATGATTGCAGGGAGAGGCGTGCACCTGCCCCAAGATTCCCCAATCTTCTCTTCCCTTACCAGGATGCCGCTGTCACAAATGTTTCTAAAACCATGGCGGGGGGAGTGCCCCAATTTCCCACGCATACTTCACCTTTGCACCCGGAAGTACAACCGGACTTGTGGAGGCACTGCAGGACACCGTCTACCCACCTGCAGCCCCGCACTGCCTGCAAGGACCTGTATTCATCCCCGACCCTGAAAACTCCTCTCAGGCCTGGCCTCTTACTGGGCCCTCATAAAGCCGTGTATTAAGACGTCAGGTGCCAGGGCACCACTGCCCAAATGAGGAAATGGAAACCCAGAAACCTCCAGGGCTGATTCAGCATCACGTCCAATGGGCACGGGGGTGGGGGTCTGCAAAGCAGCGGAGAAAGGGAGGGCGACAGGCTTTGGAGAACACAGATCCGGGTTCCTCTTCCAACTCAGCCACACATGCACACGTGCGCGTGCGTCCCCTTTGAGAAAAGGTCACATCGCCTTTTGTAAGATCCGTTTATTGGCACATAAAGTACAGACGCTCCTTGACTTCATACCCCCATAAACGCATTGTAACTTGAACATGCACTTAATGACACCAGAGCTGAGCCCCGCCCACTTTCAGCGCGCTCAGAACACAACATCCAGTCCTAAGGCAAACCATCAGGACCGTCTGCACTCGTGACACCCACGACCTCACACCAACGGGAGAGCGAGTGACGGGACCGAGTCCACGTCAGGTGTTCCCACAGGAACAGCCTTTCTCCCCTCCCACTGTAGCGGGTGCTGAGAACGCGTCCTCCATGAATGTGGGCGTCCATGTGGATTCGCCTTCTTCCTCTTTCAATGCCCACACCCAGGGTCTGGGACCTCGGCCGATGTCCTGGACATTTACCTTTCTGCAGCGCCGCCGATTTATTTTACACGTACCTTACGGCACCTCACATTACTCAAGGTGTGCTTGAGAAGCTAGAAGGAGGCCCACACTATGCACATTAAATCTTTCTAAGGGCAGCAGAGGAGCTAACACCTGGGGAATTCAGTGGCAAGCGCCTAACTTTAGAAACGAGAATTCTTCCATAAAAAGCAACGTCTGAGTTAGAGCACATGCCAATTTCTTAAAAGCAAGGTTATTTTGCGTTTGCTTTTAACACAAACATGCATTACCTTTTTTAAAAGTATTTTTTTATTGATTTCAGAGGGGAAGGGAGAGACAGAAACATCACTTCGGAGAGAGAATCATTGGTCAGCTGCCTCCTACACACCCCACACTGGGGATTGAGCCCGCAACCTGGGCATGTGCCCCCGACCGGAATCGAACCTGGGACCCTTCAGTCCACAGGCCGACGCTCTGTCCACTGAGCCAAATCAGCCAGGGCAACATGCATTACTTTTTTTAACGAGGGGCGAAGGGTCCTAAAGAGAGCAAATCAAGCTCTAACCTGAAACCTCAGAAACGTGCGGAATGCTGTGCAGTGTGCTGAGGATCAAGAGCCACGGGACCCCTCAGGAAGCCAGGACTGGTGAGAGCCAGAGGGGAGTCTTTCCCTTTGATGTGGGGAATGAATGAGCTCACTGGTATCCAGGCCAGATGTCCTTGATCACAGTGATAGGGAAAAGCAAGGTGCATGGTGAGGAAGGAGCCAACCGCTTCCGCTGCTTCTGGCTGACCTGGCACCAGCTTCCTGCGCCCAACGGATCCCCATCACCTTAGGGGGTTGCAGCAATCCCGGACAGAGAGGCTCTCAAACATTCTCTAGTTTGTTCGACAAATATCCGAATGCTGCTCTGGCTCAGGGAAATGGGGATGAAGGCCAGCTTAGGGGCCATTTAGGAAGCAGAAGTAGCAAGTGGGCTTGGGAGGCAGTCAGAGGGAACCAGGATGCCCCTCAGGTTCCTGGGATGGGTGTGTGGGTGAATGACCACATGAAGAGTATGGGACATTCTTTTCCTTATTACCTAAAGAACTCCGTGTCCAACAATGAGTCGATGATCCTTGGGAAGGAGGGCAGTAGCCGGCCTATTTCCCAACCCTCCAGGTGTCTGTGACCCTGCCATACAACTGGGAGGGGCAGGCCTCACTCAGTCAGCAGCACCACTTCTTTCAATGATCAACTTCAGGGAACAACCCTGCAGGACATAAAAATAACACACACACAAGCAAAGGTGGACATTCTGTAACCCTGAGGCTCCGAGTCACCCAAACAGGTCACGTTGGCTGGCGCCCGGGGCTTGCTGGGAACCCAGCATCCACCTGATATTTGCTTGGGGTAGAAGGTGAAGTTCACAAAATGTTACAAATCAACAGCAGAAAACGTTCCTTACTGGTGTTAAGTAACAGTTGTTTTTTTAAGCACTCCCTGTAGGGCCTCGATTATTTCTGGAATCATCAGAGAAACTGCGAACAGAACAGCGGTGTGTTCTGCAGGGGGAACCCCGAGTGAGAAGGCCGACTCCTGCACCCCATCCCCCATACACCGTGTCCTTGGTCTGGCTTATCTTTAAAACAGAAAAGACCTGGCCCAGGCCACTCAAAAGGAGCAGAAGCCTCAGTCAAGTGTGAGGGTTATTTCTGAAACACACTTCAAACATACTAGTTTGAATAACAATGTTATTCTTAAAAGCGCACTTCTTCCGGAATTCAAGTCCAGGCTCCCATCGGCAACAAAATGCTGGCCTGCCAATAATAACCATGCAGAGTGACTAAACATTTTTTCCAACAAAGGGTAAAAAAAAAAAAAAAAAAAAAAAAATGCTCCCGATCAAAGTGCAGAACCAGCTCCGGGCCGGAGCGGGCGCGCGTTTCCGCCTCCCACCTTCCCACCGCCTTTGGAGCTCCGGCTGCGCCTAATTGCTCCGTTGGAACGCGTCCTCTAGGGCTCTGCCAGCAACAGCGCCCCAAACACCCCGCCCCCTCCCCCGCCCGCCGCGGCGGTCACGTGACGGCGGAGAAAAGTAGGGGAAAGGTTAGCGGGAGCCCCGCCCCCGGCCTGGCGTGCCCCGGGCGCTCAGATCCTGTTCCACCCGCCGCGCCTCCGGAGAGACCTGCCGCAGCTTTCGGGCGCGCGCGGCCGGCGCTGCCACCCAGGCGACCGCGAGCGGAACGCGGTGCCTCTTCGGAAGGCCGAGGCCTGCGTGCTCAGCCTTCGGGGCAGCTGAGAACTTAGTGTGCCCGGCGACATCCCACACCCGAAACGCAGCCCCGCGCCCCCGCCAGCCGGGAGCGCGTCCGGAAGGGGCTCGCCGGGACGCACCAGGAAAACTTAATTAACGGCGTTTCTATGAATGGGCATCACGGGGCCAGGGTTGCGTAAGCGCGGGCCTTCGCCCCAGGACTCCCGGGAGGCCCAGGCTTGACCGCTCGGTGAGCACTGGGCCGAGCCGAGGCCAAGGGCGCAGCGGCACCAGGTTTCTCCTCGTCACCTCCGGGCTAGGCCGTTTGTTTTCAGTACAAACTCGCAAGGTTATTTTGACCTGTGCATGATGCCAGTTTCTGCTACTCTGATACAAAGTATGCGCGCTCCTAACGATGGCCCTGTTTCTGATTCAAACAGCTGCTCAGATGGCGACCCATGTGCAAGGTCCAGTGGAACCTCGCTGCACGGGGAGGACGAAACCGGACGTTTGCTCGCAAACAGAGCCGCAGGGCACACAGACCCTCGTCCAAGTGCGGCCTTCCGTCCCAATCAGACGCGTCGGTCCCAGACACTCCCTCGCCTCCACCACGAGCGCTAGCCTCCGGGCCTCGTATCTACACCACACGCACCCACTGCAAGTCGCCTAAAGTAACTCGGCGAGGGGAGGGCGACGCTTGTTGGCATAAATAAAAGACCAGCGAGTTCGGCCATATTTTTTATTCATTCGGTGTGTGGTTTATAAGGAAATAAACATGCTTGAATATCTGGAATGACCAGAAATCGGACGCATGTGCAAGAAAATGGTGTAACAAAGACAAGTTTCAAAAGGTGAAACTGCCATTTTCTTCGGTAACTTACAAAGTTACCGGTTTTCTACTGACATCTGCCCTTGGATGTTTTAATACACGGAGCCCAGAGGGACTGGAAGCCTGTCCCGAGTTGGGAATATTAAATCTGTCCAGTATTCAACTTGGTGAATTACTTGGCATTGTTTACTGACGGTGTTAAAAAAAATGAAAGTAAAATCAGGCGTCATCTTTGTTCTCTACAAGGAAAGCCAACCACAATTTACATTATAAAGACGCTGACCCACTCACAGCGCGGCGAACAAAACGAAACAAACTAGCAGTGGGAGTTGGGGTTAGGGACTCGCAGGCCGGGTGGGTCCTGGTCACGTGACGCCGCCCCCACCCGCCGGCACCGCAGCTCCTGGGCCCTGCGCGACCTTGGGCAGGTTCTTCGCTCCCACCTGCCCTGAAACCCGCGTGGCACGGGAGAGATGGGGTATTCGCAAGCGGAGACGCCGGCCCAGCGCCTTCATCCCGTGCACCGCGGACGCTCAGACCGCATCTGCAGTACCCATGCGTGGAGCACCCGCGCCAAGGGCGTGTCCTGAAGGCTGCACTGCCGGGGAGGGCCCGGAGAGGGGGGAGGGGGCGGGGGTGCCCCTCGGAGTTCCGAGGACCTGGCGTCCCCTGACTCCTGCATGGGACTGTCGTACCCCAGACCTAATCCACTCCGTACGGCGGGTTTGGATGACGGTGAAGAAAGCCGCGGCCCAAATGGCTCCAGGCCGGACTCGTCCTGCCCACGTCCGGAAAACCAAGCATCCCTCCATCTCTGTCTCCTGCACTGTATCTGCCTGCGGGTCGACGACCCTCGGGCGGACCCCCAGACCCTCTCCTAGGGAGTGGGTGGAGGTGGGGCGGGGGAGGACGCTGGTGGCCCGCTGGCCCCGGGCCGGTGGCGTCTTGCCAAGTCCGGAGGGTTGAGCATCATCCTTCCCGCCGCAGCATGGAACCTGCCCGCGTGCAGACAGACCCCTGGGAAGACCCTCAGACCAATACACTGCGGGGGTTGGGGGGTCCCTGCCCCGCTCCGGTTTCGGGTTCTCTACTGACCCCGCTGTCCAAGAGAGATACTCGGGGTTCCCCTCCGCGCCCCGGCTCAGAAGGGGGCCCCCCTCTGCCTGGGTTCGGGCCACGGCACTCCCCGCGCGCTCCCCGCCCTGGAGCCCGCCGCCGCCCGCCGGCAGCGCTCCCCAGCCCTCCTCACGGCGCGCGGCTTCGGTCGGGCCTTACCGAGTCCGGGGCCGGAGGCGCGGCGGGGGATGCGGCGGCGGGGGCAGCGGCGGCGAAGTGAGCGAGCAGCGATCCGGCGCCGGGAGCTGGGGGGCCGCGGGCCAGGCTGAATGCAGCCGCCGCGGATTGGCTGTGGCGAGTGAGGGCGGCGACTCCGGACGCGCGGCGGGCCGGGGCGGGACCTGGCCGGGGCGGGACATCAGGAGGGGCGGGGCCCCGGCGGGGCGTCCCCGGGAGTGAGTCAGGTGAGGAAACTGAGGCTCTCACTGGCGCTCACCGCTAGGTTTCACCAGCATGGAGCCTAGAGCAAGATTCCTCCCTCTACGAGCCTCAGTTGGCTCATCTGAAAAGTGGGCCGACTCATTAGGGCCATACCCATCAGAGCGCTCAGCACGGTGCCCAGCTCCTGCTCGCCCGTTAGAGGCATTGCCCTGTGTAATCCTCATGGCACCCCTATAAATAGCCGATCCCAGCCCGCGGAGGAGGCGGGGGTCACTAAGGTGCCCACGATCACACAACTAAGAAGATGGATGCGACCGACATTGGCCCCAGGGCTGACTCCAGGGCCCACGCCCGAAATGGGACCTTATCTCCCCTCCTCCCTCCCCTCCAGGGACAGCTGATCAGCTGATACAGGGTGGCTCGCGGGGCTCACACGCTAACGGGAATTTCGGTGACCTTTCTGAGGGCCCTGCTCAGCTCACTGGGATAAAAACACTTTTTTTGAGGGGCTTTGGTAAGATTTCATCAAGTAACTAAACAGGCGCCTAAAGCATAGTAGATGCCGGGAAAGAAATGGCTGGAGGTGGTGACAGAGTGGCCGAGACTCCCGTGCCGGCTCCAGAGAGGGGCTGGGGGTGGACACTGCGCCCCGGGCCAGCTCGGGGCGGGGGCGAGGGGTGGAGGGGGTCCAGGAAGAGCGCGCGCTGCGCAGCGAGGGCTCCGCGCTTCCCGCCGGCGAGCCCCGCCCCTCTCTCGGCCAGCCCGGTTCCCAGGCCCGCGCTGGTGGTCTGCGGCCAGCAGGTGCGCCGTAGATGCACCTGTTTACGAACAAGGTCAGGTTCTCCCTTTGGTTATGAACAGTCCACGCTTGCCTCCGTCTTTCTGTCGGAATTGTTTGGTGGTTACCGCACGAGGATTGGGGGGAGAAAATGGAAGTCCCTGTCGGTTCCCGCTCACTGTTGGCGCACACTGTCCAGGCTGTTCTCAGCCCGGTCACAGGGTACGAGCTGTTTGTTAAAACTTTGGTTTTCACTTGGCTTCTGTCGTGGACAGCGTTCCCGTCGGGGCTCGGGGAAGACCGCGTTTTTTCATAGTATTTATCCCGCCGCGTGGACATTGAGCCCCTCCCGCCCCGTCTCACCACTGCGGATATAAATAGAGCCGCACTGGCCCCGGATGTGGTAGTGAGCTGCCGGTTTCTCTCTCTAAATCCCTAGAAGTGAAGCAGCCGGGTCCAAGGGCAGGCACGAGAGACGTTCTGGTGACATGCTGGTGCCGGGCAGCCCTCTAGGAAAGCTATCTGCCACCCCCGCCTGGGGGCGCGCCCTGGTCTCCCGGAGCTCACAGCTCAGGCTGTCTTACCCCTTTTAACAATCTTTGCCAAGATATCCCTCCTTATTTTAAATTGCATTTCTTTGCAGTTAAAAGTTGGCCCCGCCCCTCACACTCCCCCCCCCGCCCCGCCCCCGCCCCAGGTTTTGCCGCTGAAGAAGGCAGGTGATCTGGGCCAGAGCGCACCAGCTACACGCAGCTGCACGGCATCTGCCTCTCCAGGGTCACCTGCCTGCTTCTCCCTGCCCTTGGCCTTCCAGGTTTGTGCCTGGGAAGCTGGACTGTCACCCTCTTTTCAAATGCCCTTCCTTCCTCTCCCTGGAAACCCGGCTGCCTGCAGGTCCCGGCCCAAGGTCATTTTCTCCCTCCCTCCACGCTCTATCATGGGCCCCACTGGGATTGGCCTGGTGCCCGGTCTGTTCCCAGGGCTCTTCCGCCTTGATCGCACCCCTCCCTGAGCGCTGCCTCGTTGCCACCTGCAGGCCGAGTGGTGGGTCAGAGCTGGGCCGCACCCACAGGGCGCCATGCTCACCTGTGCCCCAGTGGCCCAGCTTGGGGCGGCGGCAATTCCAGCCGCACCCTGGAGGCACCCTTTCAGCCCCCGCCCCACCCCCCCCCCCCCCCCCCCCCCCCCCCCCGTGCTTGGCTGAGCAGTGGAACTGGGCCCCTGGGGAGCTGTGAGCCTGGTCCCATCTGAGTTCCCTCTCCCCACACCAAAACGTCCCAGTCAGCCTCAGAAACTAAAGATGTCTTTCCTAAACTTTTTTTTCTCTCTCTCAAATTCTTCCCCAGTGTGAAACATACTTGAGCAGCTGCTTCTTGTGGCTATAAGGAAACCGTAAAAAATGTTTAATGCCTATATTATTTTTATTATCACTAAGAGATTTCCTCTAAAAATATCTTCGTGTGGAAAAATTTAAACATTAAACATTAATGAGAATAGTATATTAATAGTTATATATATAACCATAACTTAGGTTCAACAGCTATGGAGCCAGGGCCAAGGTGTTTGTCTGTGCCCCTGCCCCCCTAATGCCTTTAAAGCAAACCCAGAAATCCTACCATTTTGTCCACAAGCTCTTGAGTACAAATCTCTAAAAGATAAGAATTCTTTATTAAAAACATGACCGCAATACCATTGTCCAACCTCAAGAGGAGGAACAATGTAACATAGAACTTGTAAAGCCCTCTTCGCCTGCCAAGGGCCCAGCTGAGCCCTCCCTCTCTTGCCAGCCTCTTTCTTGCTGGCAGCTCCCAGCAGGTTCTGATCCAAAAGTGTGTGAGACTTTTTTGGAACTCGGCTGCCATTTCCCATAGGAAACAATTTTGTAATCTCAGCGTTCTGTGCTTCCCTCTCCTCTCCAGTGCTTTGAGCCCCTCTGAACTTGAACCTTGAACCCCTGCAGGTGGCAGTTCCACGTCAGAGTGGTAATAATATTTGCTAAGAATATTTACTCGGCCAGCATCCGCGGGGTTTGGTGAGGACAAAATGAGGTAATACAGATGCAAGCAGCCCAAAGGCAGCCAGAGGAAGTGGCAGGAGCTCACGGCAACAATGGAAATGTATTCTTCAGGGAATAGGCTTGCCCTCTGACCCAGTAACCCTACCCCTGGGTACACACAGAGAGCTCATGTTCACGAAAAGACTGGTATAGGGATGTTGACAAAAGATTCATTCAAATTGACAAAAATCCAGAGAACAACCCAGTGTCCGCCAACAGGAGAACGGGTGGGTCAATGGTGGTTTCTCCGTACAGTGTAATAACCATAAGCAGCAAGACACACACACCATGGATGGAGCCTGCAGAGCTAAGAAAAAGACAGCTAACCAGCACACAGAAAACAAGCACACTGTGAGTTCAGCACGGCCAGTGATGCGCCTTCACCGCAGTGGCGGGACTGACTGAGCAGCCCGTGAAGGAGCCCGTCAGGGTGCCCAGGGGCGACCGTGCATGGAGCTATTTGCTTAAGATTATGCACATGGTGCTCTTTACTACAGTGGGTTAGGCCTCGATTTTTAAAATTAAAAATGATTGAGCCCTGGCCGGTGTGGCTCGGTTGAGCGTTGTTTCATGCACCAAAGGGTCGCTGGTTTGATTCTCCGTCAGGGCATATGCCCAGGTTGTGGGCTTGGTCCCCAATACAGGGCATGCAGTAGCCAACCTATCAATGTTTCTCTCTCTCTCTCTCTCTCTCTCTCTCTCAACAAAAACATATTTTAAAAAGTGACTGGGAGTTGATTGGGCATTGCCTGTTAGTGGGAAGGGTGAGGCCATGACATGAAGAGGAGGTGATGAAGCTGAGACCTTGGGGTCACCTGGGGAGACAGTGGAG